ACTCCACAAAAATACACACAGCATGGCAATTCATGACATGTGGATGACTCACTGTTCCTGAGCCCACAGAACAATCGTCACTTCAAAGACATAAACCTTGGGCCTTACTTATGTACTGCATCAGGGGAAAGACAGGAAGTCATCAAAGGATCCAACAGACATTATTCAAGACTTTGTGCGTTGAGGCACTGACACATTCGGCACTATTTACATAGGAACACATTATATTTAGCTTGCCGTCACGACACAGCACATGCAAGTGCCACAGCACTGTGCATCTCATGGAAGCACCTGAATGCACCTGCAGAGTAATGTGTAATCATAATTACAGAGCTTCAATAGAGGAACAGGCAATATTCCATGTGAATTGAATATAAATACAAAGATAAAGATCTAGTCTGCATGAAATGTGATAAAATTGCTCTCACAGTTAGAAATAGTGAGTAAAATATATAACAACCCATCAACTGGAATGATAATTTCCATGCTTTTTTTGTTGGTTGTGATACAAAACATATCTTACTAATCAACTGTAAAATATTTTTTAGTTTATGTTTATCCTCACTTTGCCTTACCAAAAACAGTTGGAGGATGGGAGGAGGTGAATGTGTGTGTGTATAAGGGTGTGTGTGTGTGTGTGTGTGTGTGTGTTGGGGGGGTGTAGTAGATCTGAGTGTGACAGATTTATTACTCTGTGCTCCAGTCGAATGAGAGCGAGCAATAAATAAGGTGTGAGAGGAGAAAGCTCTCCATTGAACATAATCAAGTAGATCCTTTAGACTCGCATCCGTCACTCTTGTGGGTTCAGTGACAACAGGGGGTCCAAGGTGAGGTGAGAGCAGTTCCCTTTATTCCCGAGCTAATATGCCTTACTGTAAAAAATACATAAAATATAATATAAAACTATAAAACAATATCTTTACTGCCAGCACCTATAGTAATCAAGGCAATTATTTTGGCAGAATCATGGCTGAGTTACTTGCCACTTTAAACAACATACTAGTTCTCATATTCTTCTATGCAGCTTCTTCTGGTGAGGCATCACTAACTGAACCAATTCCCACTTTATGAGTGAATGAGTAAATGATGCCTTAATGACACTGTGACACGATTTCTGACACTGTTCTCTGTACTATCTACTCTCTTGCTCTCAAACGCTCTTCCCATTTCTTTAGCTGACAACTGCAAAATACAACGGAGCAAGTTCTAAACCGAATTTAACATCCACAAAATTATAGATCAGTCAGAGGCATATAAGGCTATTAAAAAAATGCATATTACTACAATCAAAAACTAGTGTATAGGCACAGATGATAAACATCAGCTTAAGGCAGTCTATTATGATACTACTCATGTTAGTGCAACACGACTAACTGCATATTATTTATAAATGACAATTTTAGCAAAGCAGCTATTTAAGAAGAATCCAAAGAATACATTCTCTGTGTAATCTAATGTCTACAGTCTCTGCATTCTCTATAAACATGTAATGCATTTTCTCTAAATGTGTAATGCACTGTCTATAAACCTGTAATGCATTCTCTATAAATGTCTAAAGTATTTTCTATAAATCTGTACTGCACTAAAAAGCTATGTTACTTGTTTACTGCATTTTAAATAAATAATTTATAAATTTATCAGTCATTTCTACAAATACCTTCTTGGACTCCACTTTGACTATATATATATATATATGTGTATGTATAAACATATGTACATCGTATGTGTATGTGTGTGTGTGTGTATATATATATATATATATATATATATATATATATATATATATATATATATATATATATATATATATATATATATATCTCACACACACGCGCACACACGCCACACTAATATCCAACCCTTAATATCCAATATTAGGTTGTGTATGTATGTACATGTAAGTAATGTACATTAGGTTATTATGATTTCTTCTTTTCAAACAGATTTCTAAGCCATTTATTCTCTGTGGTGGCACTATGCAGAATAATATTCTCTGACCATATACCTCAATCATTTTGTGCTGTCTTTTATTTGCCATGTGTGTCACAGCAGGATATTGACATCATATTGAGAAATGGTATCATCACCAGTCATCATGATGCACAGAACATAAACTGAGGCACTGGAGTAAAATGGCTCACTTTGCCACAGCATGATGCTTTGCAACATATATAGCAGCTTGCTCATGGTACGTGCACATTTACTTTGTTACTAGTCATGTCTTTTCATTAATGTCTATTCTTTTCTCTCTTTTTTTTTTTTTACATTCATTAAGCTTATTAACTTATTACGGTGCTAATACTATAAACCCATTTTTCTGGCACAGGTGACAACATTACACTACATGTCTGTGGGCATTGTCTACAAAAAAAATGTTGTCAACTCTTATTCTGCCCACAAAGAGTTTGTAAAAAGAAAAAAAGGACACTCAACTTTGAGCTTTGAAATACACCATCAACAAATGAAGCACCACCAGGTACACACTACCTTTTTAGCCAAATCGTTCACGTCCTACTGGCACAAACAAGCTTGCAGGCCTATGACTAGAGAGAACTAACTCAATTCTAACTAAGAATGCTCAGATGTGTTTAGTGAATTATTTGTTAAAACATCTGGCTGCTGGCTGACTCTTGACACACTGTAGACAGCACAGTGTTGCTGTTTTAGTTGTCAGATATGCTTCACTGCTTGAGCAAACAGACACAAGTAAACTGGAAGTAAGATTCTGTTTCTGTCTGTCTCGCTGAATCGTCCTCCTTTTATCCTGACAGACCAGCACTCAACACTCATGATGTTTATGGTCCACATGTGAGTAGATACCAATGTACACACTTACACTAATGGTGTCAAACATTCAAGCTATAGAGAAATCCTAAAACAAAAGGAAAAAAAAAAACCTATATGGCAAGTTTTTTAGAAGAAAGAAAGAATATTTCAAGATAAAGTGCTTCTAAAGTAGCCCACCATATTCATTCAACATTTTTTAACCCAAATGAAAAACATGCTTAATAAACCTGGAAATTGTAATGATATTCAGTTCTATTTCAGACATTCCCTACCTCTCGCCACACTCTCTGTAATGTACATGTGGAAAGCTTGGGCACAGCGCTGACAGCATGACAGATAAATGCGCCGTTTCAAGTAAGGGAAGAGAGCGTGGTGTACTTTTGAATATCACATAAGAGAAGATATGACAGTGAATCTCCGTAGGCAGTTTCTTAGTGGGTGACTGCAACGTAAAACCAGCGCATCTTTAACAAATATCTGGGAATCAAATCAACTTGCCAGCGGATATTTGTTTCGCCCAAATGTAAATACCATGCTGTTGGCATGCTGCTGAGATAGGGAGTGAGACATCACTGATTTACACTCTTCTTTCGTAATGATCACATAGAAGTACTTTCCCAGAGAGAGAACATAGCAAGAAAACAAAACAGCACTTAGAAATATTCATAAAACAAAAGAATAGTGTGTGCCATTCAGCCCTTTTCTTATTTTGCCATCCTCCTGTAACTATGAGTTGCTGTGTGTTGGTGTATGAAAGCAGGTTTGTGTGTGTAGGAGGCGACAGAGAGACTTGTATACTCACAGTTTGAGCTGTCAGGTCACTCGGGTCCAGCGCTGGATCAGGGGCTCATCCTCTCACGGCTTATCCCACCGCAGGACACAAAGATAGAGAGAGAAAGAGAGAGTGAGAGCAAGAGAGTGAGAGAAAGAGAGAGAGAGAGGGTTTTTTTTCCTCCTTTCCAGCTCTACACGCTTGTACAAGTACAAGGAAGAGAGAGACACAGTGAAACAGATTTTAAGATAGAGATTGAGAGAGAGAGAGAGAGAGAGAGAGAGAGAGAGAGAGAGTGGGATGGGTCTGCAATGCGATCGGTCCTGGAAGAAAGCGAGCATTAGAATCAGTGCTGCTGATTCTTTGGCGTGCTGTGCGTGTCTTCACACATAGCTGTGAGCACAGTGTGGTCAGCTACACACGCCTGCAGTGTGTGTGTATACACACACACGCACACATACATACACACATACACACTCACAAGGAGGGGTGGGGGGTAGTGCCTAGGCATTCACTCACTGGCTGTGCCTTACACTGTGAGAAACATCAGAGAGGGAATGCACGGGAGAGAGAGGGGAGGAGGGACAGAAAAAAAGCGGGGGAAGGAGGAGGAGAGAGAGAGATAGAGAGAGCGGAGGAGGAAAGGATGCACTGACAGTTTCACGCGAGCTCTTCGCTTGTTCTGGCCGCTAACACAGGCTGACAGATACTGAACGGCAGAAGCAAAAGGCATCGTACACCTCCTCCTTTTCTATATCTCCCTCTTGCTGTGAATCTTACTCACCATAAACATGCAGTCGCTCTCCTTTCGCATAAGCCGCATTTGCACAGCTTCAGAGTTACAGTGAAAACGCTAAATGTGAGAACACTGATATAATGGTCGGAAATGCAACAATTGCTCTAAGCTGGGTGTAATCTGATGAGATGGGCTGCACATGCACAAACAGCAGATCTATTTCTTTATGCTTTCAGTACTACTGTGTATGTATATGTGACTCAGATGTAGAGTCAGCCCTAGGATGACAGGATAGTAACTCATTCAGGTCTGAAACTAGAGCATGCACTACACTTCAATGATTTAAATTAGGACACACATTATCCATTTCACTCCTGATCTCATCGATTCATTCACTTCCAGTACCTGCTTTATCTTGTGGTGGTGGATCCGGAGCCTATCTTGGATATACTGAGTGCGAAGTGGGGACACACCCTGTACAGGATGCCACACATACACACATTCTCACCTGGGGCAATTTACAGTTGCCAGGCCACCTACTGGCATGTTTTTGGGAGGTGGGACGAAATCGGAGGTAATCCATGCAAGGCACAGGGAAAACATGTGAAACTCCACACAGACAGTATATCAAGCTCAGGATTGAACCAGAGATCCTGGAGCTGGGAGGCAGCACTGCACCACTGTGCCACCTGACAAACCAAAGTATCCTTCAAGCAGGATTGGAACCAGTGACTGAAGGATGGCCTTGTTAGCATTTACAGTCCTGTCCTCTACTCTACTCTACCACCTGAGCTACTGAAGGCATCCCTAACCTCTCCACTGTGATTTCAGCATTTCTGTATTTTCTAAAAAGTATGTCTCAACTAGCAATGCATGCAGCAAGGAATGTCATCATCATCACTATCAGCATCAGCATCATTATCTTGGCATTCACTAGCACCATGTTCTGCATGTGTATGCATGTTTCTTTCTACAATGTAGCCTGTTCAGATTGTGGACAGGCAGTAAAATCCCTCAGGACTCGTCTCACTCCCTTCCTAATTAAATTCTACCTCGTTATCCTGCACGGGAGGCAAAGAGACACAGTGCATCTAAATCCAATCACATCAAATCAGATCTTTGTTTGCTTTTTTTCTTGTCTTGGCATGCTTGTTTTTTAAATAGTATTCCCCTGTTTTCTGAAACCCAGAGTATCAACTTGGAGCAACTGAAATAAGAAGCCTTAAAGGCACTTGAGCATGGTATCCAGCCAAGCTGAATGGCAGTCTACATTACTGACAATCAGTCCATTCCGCACTCACATTAACATGAAAATGTACTCTAAAGTGCTGCTGTTTAAGCACTTGCGCTCACACACACACACACACACACACACACACACACACACACACACACACACACATGTACATACAGATCCCAGACAGTCATTTAGCACATCTGCTGCATGGATCCCTTGTGGTGAGCCATCATATCCAGTTAGCACTGTGGGCCTGAAGTGAGACCCAGAGCAGCATTCTGCCGTGCCTTATCTGGTGCTTTCTCCACTCAAAGCTGCCCTTCTGCCAACCCCACCGCTGGCACTCAGCACCCCCATTAACAGGTCCGAGAAGGTGCAGTCGGCCTTTGCCGTTCAGCTCCACAAAGAATAGCAATAGCCACCATCACTGAGCGAATAATGGCAATAATAGCAGGCTGCAACTCCTCTGTTTGCTAATTGGCTTGTCTGCTCACAGTCTCCACTCTAAGGGTCATGGGATTTTGTGGGTGGCATCTGTAAATAGCTAATCAACTCCCCAGGCATTCGCTTCACTTCAGAAATTATTTCTGATGAATTCGTAAATAATGGGTGGGGGTTGGGATGTTTGGTTGGTGGGAAGGAGCAGGAGGTGGGTAACAACTACACTAACAGGGCTACACTAACTGCCAGAGACAACAGAGACAGAAATAAATAATGAAGCCGCAATTGTTATTCCTATGCAGCCGACAGAAGTCGTTTGAAGTGCAGACTCGCCTTCATCTTGCCATGCCTGGAAAAAAAGGATCGCGAGGCCAGACGCAATGAAGACGTCTTTGACGCTTTTGGAGAATGACTAACAAGTCTGTAAGGGTGGTGTGTGGGGAAGTAGCTGGCATAACTGCTGAGCTGCTTAAGTGAGCAAGGCGAGGAGCAGGGCACGAAAGACATGCTGTGTCTGTCTTATGTTGGCTTTGTACACACACACACACACACACACACACACACACACACCAATGGCTGGCCAAGCAAAACACTGGTCACTTCACTCAGTCATGTCGCATCAGAGAAAAATCAGCAAACAAGAGAAAGAACAGACATCCAGGAAAGTGACTCTCTGAGTACACATGACATTTAAAAAGAGTGATATTTTGAGTAAATATATAAAACATAAGTCTCAGAAGCTTTTGGAAAGAAACCACATTGTGTGGGTGCTTCACTAGAGCTTCACATTTTCAACACCTTCAGTGTCATTGGGGCTAATCTGAATACCGAGGTACCGGTGCAAATTGCAAATGAAGAATCAATAAAGCAATATTCTACTTTGACTGAAATGCATGCATAAATATAGAAAATACAAAGCTTGGGCCACATTACTGAATGTGACACATCACTTTAGACACAGAATGTACTACACTGTGGCCCTGATTTACTACAATCTGAAATAATTAATTTGCCTGTGCAGTCTGATTAATAGTACACACAGTTAGTGAATATGACTGCATAATTGATGACACATTCAGGCTAGGGGTGGAAAAACATATTTGGATGTTGAACACAGCTTCGGGGCCTGCAATTTGATCTTGCTCTGCACCAGATTACTGTCGGTGCAGAGTTTCACATGTCCGCTCTGTGTTCACGTAGGTTTCCACCAGTTTCCTCCCACTTTCCAGAAACATGCTGGTAGCTTGCATCCCACCCAGGGTGTATTCCCAACTCATGTTCCCAGGTTAAACTCCAGATCTTGACCAGGATAAAGTGGTTACTGAATATGAATGCATGAAAGAAATAACTGTTCTCAATAAATAGTTCTCAATGATGTTGTCATGATCGTGTGACAAATATCTAATATGAAACCAACTAGTAACCAGTAATATCATCATTGTGAGAAATTCTTTCATTGGTTTGAGATATCTGGAAATAGTTTTGAGGGAAAAAAAAAAAAAAATTTAAATGGTGGTAATGCAAATTTAATTCCTGCCATTTGGTGGTATTAATTTGCACATGCAACCTTGATTCCTGAGGTGACTTTCAGGTTTGATAAAATCACATTGCATGTGATAAATCAATCTAATTGTACAGACACTGTCCTGTTTTTTGCAGTGTTAGGTAAAAATGCCCCAAATTGCATATTCATTCAAGAAAACATGCAAAACAGATATGTTACTTTGTTTATCTGAAAGACACAATCCTCTGGAAAACATAAATGAGCACTGCATTGCACATATTTCTACTCACACAAGCCTTCAGAAATTTAGCGCCTGAGAAATTATCCAGTACTTTTGTGTGTATGTGTGTAAGCCTGGCCTCTGTTCTGTATTTAGTCCTCTTGTCTCAATTCAGAGGGAGATTCTGCAGTGAGGAGCTCCTGATAATATCATGATAACAAGAGCTAATTAAATTTAGTGGGACCGGTGGAGAGTGAATTATTTGGAGCGAAGAGAGGCTGAACTGCCATTAGCTTGCAGACAGTTTTATTTCTTCTTTTGTTCAACCTGAGACTTACTTTCTGCCTTCTGGTGAAGGACGAACTATCATTACTGCTTGTTGTTTGCTAATAAATCATTCATACATTGCTGTTTCTCCTCTCAAACATTTCAGTAAACATTTGTCTATTGATTTGTCCATTGAAATAAATTTACTGATAAGCAACCCTTTTAAATCAAGTGTGTAAATATCTGCACATAAATGACTGTTTTAGTCATATTTCAATAAACCTTTCTGGAAATACCAGCCAAGTGTGTTTACCAAAATAAAGTGTGCAATCACTTGACCAGTCTAAACCTGAAACTACAGAAACCCACAATGTTTCTGGCATTTGGACCCCCTACTCAGGCCAAATTAACAGATTTTATAAACAAACTGAACATAAATATCCTCTAAGAGTTACAGCACTGTGCCAGAAATATTGACACATGCATAGAACATTTAAAATCCCAACAGACCCAATCATATTTCATTAAACGTGTAAAGGTTTAGTCTTTCAGGTCATTCTGCAATTATTTTACAGCCATTTTATATGTATACTAATAGCATTCATGAAAAGTATGGATACATCTCATCTTTTTTTTTTTTTTCAGGCTTCAGGATTAAAGGCTGTCATTGAAGCGGACAGACGTATGCAGACTCAGGAAAAACAAAAACACTAGGCAATACTGAAAACGAGAGATAGGCTAAGGGTCAGACGATCAGCAAACAGGCATAAACTGGACATGGCTAATGGTATAATGATAAGCAAGCAAAGGTCAAAACAACAAGGCAAAAAGGCAGAGCGTACAAATGCCTAGAATCATCACAGGCACAATGCTGGAGCAAGATTTCCCGATGTCTGTTTGGTTATTATTTATGAGAGATTAGGTGATTGTGAACAGCTGAATCCAATCAGTAATATGGAAATTGCAAATGGGGATAGGTGTTTCTTTGGCCTTCTGATTTGATGATCTTATGACAAGATCATGGCCTGAGATTCATGGGAAACGTAGTCTGTAAATTCAGGAGCTGTACAGGTGAACACCCAATTATTTATATTAAGACAAATATAAATATCCATGCATTTGTGTTAATTTAGTTCCAAAAAGTTGGATGATGATAACCTGTGGCTTCTTCTAATCCTGGATGTTATCATTCCAAAAGCGGTAGGCTGTGATCAACTGCAAAATATAAAATATTTAATATAACATTTTTTGTATGCATTTGTGTACAAGTTTAATGGTTTTCATCTTCGTATTCATTATACTGAAATGTGAAAACAGGAAAAATGAAGAAAACCTTGGTGTACGTGTGTGTGTGTGTGAATAAATCAGCTCATCAGGCTTCTTACTAGAGGAGTTTGAGTTTGAGGATGTGACACACTATTTTGCAGTGGATGGCACTTTGGATGTCATTCAGGAAATCGTCTACCTGCCAGGGATCATGACCCTGAGTGGCCTGACACTGATGGGAATACTCCGGTTTTCACCTTCTATGTTCTCTCCAGTCTCAATCCATTTCAGTCAGTGATAATATATGCAAGATATGCAAACAAAGCAATTAGAGCTTAAAACCATGTTTGTTTGGGTTAATGACTATTGAATATTGCAACTCCAACCGAATATATGAATTGTAGGGAGAAACGATATCTCCAAAATAACTACAGTGCAAAACAGATTAACGACATTCCATACATTCCTTTATACAAGTTAAAATCAAGTGAATCCTAGAATGTAATTTGGATGGTCACACCAGTGAAACACATTTAGAATTTATTCTAGGGTAAAAACCATTATTTACTAGTGCATACCTGTCAACTTATACTAGCTCTTTTTTTTTTTTAAGAAAGGTGTTCATTTAAAACATTCATTTTAGCGAGAGCATGTGTGGACTACAATAGAGAGATTTCCATGATGAATTGATCATTTTTAGAATACAGAGACATTTTCTACACTCTTATGGTACACTGAATGTTTAACTTTTTTATTTTATTGGTAGTTTCAAGTAATCTAGAACATCATTCTGTCAAGGACAATGAAATTCTTTATTGCCTCCATAATTGTACTTCGTGGATAATTTCCTAGCTGACCCATTCAGGT